TTGCGGTCCAGTGCATGATCCCAGAGCACCACCTCAGGACTCAGTGAGTATGAGGTAGCTTTAAAAAGTTTTGGAAACAATATATTTTTATTCCCTATGTTTTTGAAGCCTCCCCTAATATATAGTAGTCTTGAGATACCACTGGTTTATGTAAACGGTTTTACTAGATGGTCCTTGAATTTCACCCCAGCTCAGCTTGGACAGGCTCAGTGATCCTTGGTTAAGCCAATTTTGTAGTTTCAACATCAGACAGACACCAGTGATCGGTGCCCTCCCCACCCCTGCAACAATGATTTCAAATTTGGATTGCTGCCCCCAACTTTTCAGAAGTTATATTAGAATGAATATTTGCCTGCTAGACCCTCAGGAAATGAATTTCTTAGAAGGGATTGTCTTGTCTCTGTGGACCAGAAATGTTTTTAGGAAGACTCAGAGCCACCTCTTTTTAAGCACGCTTTTCACTAGAGTGAGGGAGTTAATCAGTAGAGTTCATGCTGAGTTTCAAAGTGGCTTTTGCTCTAAAGAGAGCTGATTTGTTGTCATCTCAATTTCTCCTGAGTTCTTAGCTCAGCGACGTGTCATTGCAGAGGTGCCTGCATCCCCCCACAGGGGCCGTTGTCAATGGTGCTTAGAAGCTCACGGGCACAGTTAGGGTCACTCGTGGGATGAGGACTCGGGTGGGGCCAAGGCCATCCATTGGGACTTTTAGGGATCCATGCAGCACTTAGAGGGGGTGTGGCTGTGTTATGCTGCTTCTAGAGAAAGTGCACTGGAAACTGTCCAGTGGGCTCCAAGCACTGGCAGACAAAACACGAAATAGGAAAGAGCCACACAGCTCATGTGACCAGGGTTTCGTCCCTGTCACTTTGTGTAGAGGACAAACAATGCATTTCCTATTGTGGGTCTAGGAAGCTTGGTGGCACTGTGGTTACGTGCGCCTCAGCTCACCGAGAGGTCCTTGGTTAGGATGCTGCTCTGTGGGACAAGGAAGTGACAGTCTACCGCCATCAAGATTCACAGCCCTGGTCACTCTGTGGGCTGGACTTTGGTATTGTGGGTTTTGTTGAATGCTGGACCTGAATCTAAGGAGCCCTGCTAGTGATGTGGGTTAGCGTTGGGCTGTTAACCACCAAGGTCAGCAGTTTGAATCTACCAGCTGCTCTGTGGGAGAAAGATGTACAGCTTTGGAGACCCTTTACAGGGTCACTGAGTTGGAACCGACTCTAGCAGCACCTGGGGCAGAGCCTGCTTTTCTCATGTGCCCACCTCGTGGTGATCTCGGTTTTGTAGGAAATACGTGGCCATAACTGCTGTCTGCCCTCTGTGTGCTCAGACAGAGGCATGACCTGCTCTGCATACTGTCCCGCAGAATCAGACTCTGGCAACATGCAGTTTCATTTTCTAGTATCCCTGGTGAAATCAATTAAAACAATCATTTTATTTAACTCAAGATGTCACATGATTATTGTTTGAATGTGTGTTGTGTTCTGTTCTGACTTATATATAGCACCGCTGTCCACAACTGAACGGAACCCCGCCTGGTCCTGCGTCAATGCTGCCTTCTCTCTATCAGTTCATCTCATTGGGGCGCTTCCTCTTTCTCCATCACCCTCGAGCCAGCATGATGCCTCTCTCCAGGGATTGATCCCTTCTGAAAACACACCCAAAGAACGAGGCATGAATTCTCTCCATCCTCACTTCTAAAGAGCTGTACTTCTTCCAGACAGATTTGTTTGTTCTGACAGTACTCTTCACCAACGCCAATACTGGTCTTCCTTATTCATGGTCCAACTTTCATATGCATATGAGGCTATTGAAAATGCTCAGGTGCATCTTAGTCCTCAAAGCAACGTCTTTGCTCTTTAACATTTTAAAGAGGTCTTTTTCAGCAATTTGCCTACTGCAATACATTGTTTGATTTCTTGACTGCTACTTTCATGACTGTTGGAGAGCAAAGCAAAAATGAAGTCTTTGACAACTTGAGTATTTTCTCCATTTACCATGATGTTATTTAATAGTCCAATTGTGAAGATTTTTTTTTTCTTTACATTGAGGTGCAATACACACTGAAAGCTGTAGTTTTTGATCTTCATCAGTAAATATTTCAAATTCTGTTAGCTTCCAGCAAGAAAGGTTGTGTCATGTACATATCTCAAGTTGTTAATGAATGAGTCTTCTTCCAATCCCGATGCCACGTTTTTCTTCATATAATCCAGCTTCTTGGATTATTTACTCAGCATATACAGATTGAATAAGTGTGGTGAAAGAATACAACTCTGGTTTCCTGATCTTAAACCATTCAGTGTCCCCTTGTTCTGTTTGAACGACTGTCTTTGGTCTGTTTACAGGCTAATTCTGAGCACAATTCAGGGCTCTGGATTACACATTCTTCACAATGTTGTCCATAGTTTGTTATGATCCACATAGTCAAAAGCCTTTGCAGAGTCAATAAAGTACAAGTAAACATCTTTGTGGTATTCTCTGCTTTCAGCCAAGATCTGTCAGGCATCAGCAGTGAGATATAGCCCTCATTCCATGTCGTCTTCTAAATCAGACTTGAATTTCTGACAGTTCCCTGTTGAATTTTCTTCAGCAGTTATTTATATATATATGTATTTTATTTTATTTTTTTAATTTAAAGTTTTT